AAAAAAAATTTAAGAAGGGAAAAAAGACCACCAACCTGTGTTGCTGTAAAACCATAGCACTTGTAGGGTCATAGAAGTTTCTTCCCACAGGTTTCATATCTAAAAGTTTCATTGCCCTGAAATAAAAAGTAGCCATGAGGTAATCCCAGCACTTGAGAAGCTAAAGCAGGAGGATTGCCACAAGTTCAAGGCCAGCCTGGGCTACACAGTGAGTTCAGGACCAGTCTACACTACACAGAAAACCAAACAGCAACAACAACCCCACCACACACCAAAAATCATAAAAGTATTTACCCTGGGGTATTGTAACTGGCATCTCAAAATGAAGCTTTAAAAGCTACATTTTCAACAGAAAAAAAACTAAATTTTTTTCTTTTTAAAGATAACTACTCTAAACTTCCTCCAGCTGAGCACATAACAAAAGACCCTTCTCTCCTCAGCCCAAAAGTGGTGACTGGCACCAAAAGGCAGAAGCTCAGATTCCTTTCCATAAGAAAGAGGCCAGATAAGGTAGCTCATTGCCTACAGTCGCAATAGTCAGGAGGCCAAGGGAGGAAGATAGCCTGGTGTTTCAGGGCTACACAGAGAGTTCAAGACTAGCTATAACTATATAGTGATCCTCCAAACAGAATAAGAAAAGGGAAGTGGGAGAATGAGCACTAGCTCTACGTGCCCCCCATTTCCTGTGTTCCTTACTAAAAAGCCTCCTCTCCACCCACTGTACAAATGATGGTGGCTGGAGGAAACAGGCCCATCTCTCCATGGAGCTAGGTTAAATAAATCCCTTTTCCTTCTTTTTACCAAAATAAATTCATTCCTTTGATTTGGTCTGCAGCAAGTACGTGAATCTAAGCATATGAACCTAAGCGGCTAGCATATGAACCTAAGCAGCAACAGTCTGAATAACTGACTTCAGCCTTCCCTACTTATTAGCTAGTAAAATGCCAAGTTACTTCCCACGCTCAATTTACATTACTTTTTAGCATTAACCAAAAGGAACAAAAGAAAGCCAGTTTCCATGTTTATGAGTAACAGCCTGGAAAAGGTAATTCTCCTTTTTCCTGGCAGTGCAGGAAAAAAGAGAACTTTTTGCTTTTGAAAGGTAGCAAGGATTTACACTTATTGAAGGTAGAAAAGAAATGCACCCTGCAAAGAGCTGGTCAGGAGCAGACTCACAACAGCCTCAATCCTATCCTACGTTCTGTTTTACTGCACAGGAGGCAGTTTAGGAATAACAACTGTAAGAAAATTTGGGAGTCTCAAAAGAAGCTCAACAATTCTGAGCTTATGTAATGCAAAAGTTTAAAGGACTAGAAAATTTCTCCCAATATTTGTGCCCTCTACCTCTTTGATTAGCCCTCTAACAACATAATTAATACACAGTACAAACATTTGCTTTGAAATTGTCTGAACTAATTCTAAGGAACTCAGTCTGCTGCCCAGCTATCTCCAAACCTAATTTCATATACCTGAATTGGACTTACCACTTGTGTGATAAAGTTTTGCTGCTGGTTTTTAAGACAGGATTTCACAAGCAGTTTAGACGGGTCTTAAACTCACAATGTAGCCCAGATTACCCTTCACTGCAGCAATCCTCCTTCCTCATCCTCTTGAGTGCTGGGGTCACAGGTGTATATCACCATGCCAACTTTTGTGAGATAACTTTTAAGTTGTATTAAGATCATTTATTTATTAAATGCTTCCAAACTCATGTCTAGCCATTGTATGTAATGCCATCCAAGCTTCTTGGAGAACATTTGCACAAATATCAAACTGAAGTTAAAGCAAAGAAAGGCAGCAACTATTTTCTCACCGACGGAAAACAACATTGTAGAAAGGAATGCACAAGTCAGAGCAGGGCTCCAGGATCTTTGTCAACTGAATCTTAATGCTGATCTCAGCATTGTCAGTTTTCCTTTGACTTTTTAACTCAGGAACCTAACAAACAAACACAAGCGAAAAGAAATGACAAAGCAATGAAGTCATAATCTAATCTGTGTTCTAGAGAACACTAGAATATCCCAAAATATATTTTTCCTTCACTTTGCTGCCATGACAAATCATAGTTTGGCAACAAGGATCTAAGAAATTTGGTTAGAGAAACTCAACAAATATTGAAGTTGAAATGTTAAGCCATTCTCTTATAACTGAAGTCAAAGATTTTCAAGCACCTTGTTGAAGGCCCTTTTGAAGAACTCAAACAAGGGCTGGGGAGATGGCTCAGTGGAATAAGCGCTTCCTTGGCAAGCGCAAGGGCCTGAGTTCAATCCTCAGTTCCAGAAAAAAAAAAAAAAAAAAAAAAAAAAAAACTCAAACAGCAGAATTTCTGTTAGGTTCTTAGAAAACCTCCCTTCCTTCTAAAAATATAAAGACATAGCAGAAATGTTCAAGACATCTATGGATTTCCACCACTCACAGCACCAGCACACTCATAATTTCATCCAAAGTACAATTCCCATCGGGTCTTACTTGTTGAAGCTTAATAGGCAGATAAAGAATAGATCCATCAAAAGCAGTGACATTTCCAGTGACAGCTTGATGGTCCTTTAACATGCCAAACCTCATGCTTTTGCATTCTACTCTGGGGCTGGAAAATAGTAAAGAGGATTTTATTTCAGTTGGGCTCAAAGAACAAACTTTTTGCTTTTGAAAGGTAGCAAGGATTTGCACTTATTGAAGGTAGAAAAGAAATGCACCCTGCAAAGAGCTGGTCAGGAGCAGACTCACAACAGCCTCAAACAGCAATCTTTTCCCCCCTTTTTAAATTTTATTTTTATTTTACAGAAAAGAGACAAAACAAAATTTCATAACAAAATAAGAGGATAATAGCAATAGTTAATAAATTATATGTTGTTATCTCTAAGGTAGTTGCTCTAGGTACAAGTTATGGGCATAAAAATTTCTCCAACTGATACTAGCACAAAGCTTCCTTTCTAATAAACTAAGACACATTAATAGTATAGCTGACTTGCATTTTTCCCTTTTCCCTACTGTCCATTCCTCTTTCACCCATCCTACTTCCTTTTACTTTTGAATAATTTCTCCCTAGTTCACAATATCTATTGTACATTTTAGACCTTATTTACTCTTTCAGTTTATCATACCAATAAGAGACAATACGAAAAAAAAAAAAAAGAGACAATACGATGTTTACACATATGATGAGTCTGACTTATTTCACTTATGAGTATGGTCTCAAGTTGCATCCATTTACCTATAAAAGTTTCCAGTTTATCTTTCTTACGGCTCTCTAGTACTCCATCACATAAAAATACCACATCTTGTCGGGCCGGCCACACCCCTGGGGCGTGCTGAGACAGCAATTGAGACTGGGCATGGTGGTGCACACCTGTAATCCCAGCTCTTGGGAGGCTGTAAACAGGCGGATCGGGGCTGGTGAGATGGCTCAGTGGTCTAAAGCACCGACTTAGAACAAGCTTAGCAAAGCCCAGGGACGACGGTTCAATCCCCCAGCACCACATGCCAGCCAGCCCGCCCCCTGGTGGGCTGAGCTGGCCACACACACACAAATAAATAAATAAAATTTAAAAAATAAATAAATAAATTTCAAAAAAAAAAAAAAAAAACAGGCGGATCACTATGAGTCCAATCTAGTAGTGAAACCCTGAACACCCTGTAGACCCTTCTCTAAAATATTTTATTTTTTTTATTTTTTATTTTTAAATTTTATGTGTGTGTGTGTGTGTGTGTGTGTGTCCAGCTCAGCCCACCAGGGGGCGGGGCTGGCTGGCATGTGGTGCTGGGGGATTGAACCGTGGTCTCTGTGCTTTGCTAAGCTTGTTCTAAGTAGGTGCTTTAGACCACTAAGCCATCTCCCCAGCCCCTCTAAAAATTTTTTTTTTTTAAAAACTGCATCTTTTTAATCCATTCCTCAGTTGCTGGCATTTGGGTTGTTTCCAAGAGTCAGCTATGACTGACTCTGTTTATAAACATGGGTACACATATATCACTGCAATACGATGTTTTAACTATTCTGGGAAGGTACCCAGAAAGGGAATGGCTGGCTCAAGTGGGACCTCTAATGTTAGTTTATTGAGGAATCTCCTCACTGATTTCCACAGTGGTTGTACTACTCTACACTCCCACCAACAGTGGAGAAGGGCTCCTTTTCCCTACAGCCCCTCATTTGTTATTGGTTGATATGACGACAGCCATTCTTTCTGGGGTGAGATAGAATCTCAGTGCTGTTTTAATTTGTATCTCTCAAATTACCAGTGATGCTGAACATTTTTTTCATACATTTATCTGCCATTTGTATTTTTTCATCTGAGAAGTGTGTATTCATCTCAGGTGTGTATTTTTTTGGGACTGATCTTTGAATCTGGAGGCAGTTTAACTTTTTTTTCAATTATTTGTATGTCCTAGACAGAGGTCCTTTGTCTGAGGGACAACTGGCTAAAAATTTTTCCCACTCTGCAGGTTTTCTTTTCACTGGGTTTTTTTGTTTGTTTGTTTGTTTGTTTTGGTTTTTTTGCCATACTAAAAATACCTAGATGCTAATGGCCATCACTGTGAGCATCTCTTTTATTTTTTTATTTTCCATAATTTTATTGAGAAACAAATAGCAATGAGACAGTTTCAAACCAAATAAGTAGGACAGTTTCAATAATTAACACATTGCATACATTCTTCCTAGTGGTTAACTGCTGTACAAGATGCGGACTTGATATCCTATTTACAAACACGATTAGAACAAATCCCTCTATTCATTAAGAGAATGTAACTATATATCTATCCTAACCACTTTGAATACACAGATACAAAATGGACATTCATCTGTATCCCCTTTTTTTGTTAAGTTCCATCATTTAAATATCACAGGTGTGTGAACTCAGCAAAATATTCTAAAAGAGTTCAGAAGCCCATAATAGTATTGGGACTTCCGCTTCACTGGCAATGTCAGAAATTGTTGACCTGAGTCCCTTACAGCTCAACATAACACCATGGCTTTACTTCTTATACTTCTTTTCACTCTTAAACAGCAATCTTTACTGGAGCTGTGTAATAGGTTTAGAGAAGCAGTCACTTGTAACTGCGCTCCACCTAGTGGTCATATTAAAAATTACATAGCTAACTAAAAGTACAATGTGGATTCAAGGATACCTGCTCATAAACAAAAACATTAGAAAATATAGGCAAAGAGAAGGAAAATAAATATAACCCTCAATTCCAACACCCAAGGACAACTTCCTTAACACATCAGTGTATATTCTTCTAGACTCTAAATCTATCTGGAAACATTTTATATAAGAGTACAGATGGTATGTTAGGCTTTGCAGGCCAGATAGCCTTGCAGTTTTGTTGGTGTAGCACAAAATCAGCAACAGACAATATGTAAACTAATGAGTGCATCTGTGTGCCAATAAAAGTTTGTCACAAAAACAGGCCATGGGCCATGTTCGACCTTTGGACTAAGTATGGCTTGCCAATCCCTGCTTTTGAGTCTCAGAAATACATACTTTTTTTAAGAAAGTGTTTTTCAAAAACAGGAATTTAGTTCAGTGTAGTTGTACATGCCTATAACTTAAGTACTCTATGAAGCTGAGGCACACAGAATCACTTAATTTGAGCCCAGCATGGGCCACATGGTAACTTAGCCGGACTGTCTCAAAAGCAGCTCTCTCTGCTTCCTGATACCATGCCATGGGCTGCAGCTTTTTTGTTGTGCTATTCTGCTTTGGAGCACCTGACTATGGATTGAAATGTTTATAAACTGTAAGCCAAATTGTGGGAAGCCATTAACTGGTATCCATTTTATAATAGTGTCAGCCATTTTCTTAAGTTTCTATTCCCCTGCTGAGTTAAGTTTCTGTTCCTTCCCGCCTTGCCCATTCCCCGTGATATGCCCCAGGGGTGGGACCTTCCTCTGTTGCCTAGATACCCGCTGCCCCCAAGAGCCCAGACTTCCTCATTCCTACACCCCCTATATACCCAGCACCTCCCCTGAATAAACAAGATTTGATCACAATCCTGTCTTGTCTCCATTCTTTGTGTCTCCTGTACCTTCTCATCCCCACTCCCCCGCTAGGGTCCTCGTTGACTAACCCCCGGGTCGGGACACCAAATAAATTTGTCCTCCTTAAAAAGGTGGCAGGGGTGGGGGGCCGACTGGTGATGTAGTTTAGTGTGATGGCCCTGGGTTCAATCCTCTGTACTGAGAGGTGGGTATAGAGAATATATAATTTAAAAGTTGGATTTTATTCTAACCACTTTCACTCATGGCTATTTCACCTTTTAATTGATTCACTGCTACAAATGCCACAGCTTGGAAAAACTCCAGAAGTGGATAAGGAGCTAGGAGGAGTGGACTTGAAAGAATTAAAATGTGTTATATATGCATACCAATAGCCCATGACGAATGTAATCATTACATACTGCAAACATGCACTAATAAAAATTAAAGTTAAAGAAACAAAACCTTCAGCAACTACTTTATACAATGACTATCCTATTACTACACAGAGCCACAAAGTTTGAACAAATTCAAAGATAAAAAATCGAATATTTTTAAGAACAGGAAGACAAAAAAAAAAATCAAGTGTAATCCAACAGTTATTCAGAAAATCAAACATGTGCAAACATCACACTTTTTTTAAAAGTTCAAATATAATTTGAATATAACCTATCTAAGACATTTGGGACCAGAAATCTTCAGATTTTGTATATGAATATTTACATATACATCATATCTTGAGGCTGGGACACAAGTCTAACCAGGAAATTCAGTTTTAATTAATATACACTTTATACATATAGCCAAAGATTATTTTATACAATGTTCTTAATAATTTGTACATGAAACAAGTTTCATGATCAGAAATTTTCCAGGCCAGGGAGACAGCTCAGTAGAATAAGTGCTTGCCTGGCAAGCACAAGGGCCTGAGTTTAATCCCTGGTTCTGAAAAAAAGAAAGAAAGAAATTTTCCATTTACACTGTCACATCACTATTCAAAAGGTTTCACATTTCTGAGTACTTCAGATTTGGGACTTGCAGATTAAAGAGGATCATCCTATACCCACCCAGAGATAGCCTACCAACAGAGTATAAGTTTGTCTTCACAGACCTTCTGCATGTACTATGAGGAGGATGCAGGATGTCCAGGCTAGTATAATACATTTTCTCAGTAATCTCTAAGGGATCTAGATGGCCATCATACTGTGGCTTCAGCAGTCAAGAGCTACAATCCCAAACTATAAATCCATGCCTTCTCCACAGCGCATTCAATGCTAAGTGGCCTGTGAGGATTCCTATACCCTTTCTGTTTCATTATATTTGTCAATATATTCTCAGAGAAAATATCTCACCATACACACAGTTTTTTAAAGTTCATTGGTATAATTTAGGTATATATAATGATTACACTCATCATAGGAAATAGAATGCACCTTGATGTCTCTTTTTTTTCTCATTCTCTTCTTCTCCCTTCAACTCTTCTCCTTGAGTTTTGTTTCCACTTTTTGCTTTTCCCACTTCTTCTTTTCCCTTCCTTTCTTTCCCTACCTAGTTTTCCTTTCTTTTGGAACAACTTCTTCCTATTTTAGAATTTCTAGTACATGTTTTGATTT